CTTAATAATAGTATATAACAATTGTATCACATAATATATACAAAATATATGCTTATAATAAAGTCACGAGGCATGACACCAAAAAAAAAAAAATATATGAGCTATAGCTTGTTATGATAAAAAAAATGATCTCTTAAACTTTTTCTATACTTGGAAGATAGATTATAAAAGTAGTTTTGCCGTAAATTACAATTTTGTAATTTGAAAGCCAGAAGGTCTTTCTTTTGACGGTTTTAAGTGTTAATAGTTTGGAACTTTAATATTATATGTATTTTTAAGAGTGAAATTTATTTATTTAAAAACAAAAGTAAGGTTTACTTAATAAAAATAAAAGTTATTTAATTATTTTGCAATTTTTTGTTGAGAAAATTTTTGTACAAGTGATAGACAGAGAGAAAGAGTTTTTTTTAAAACCAGGAAATCTTTATTATAAACCCTGCTATAAAAATTTATGGTTTGTGAATCAATTTTACACCTAAAACTTTTGGCCTTTTTCAGAGCTTTACTTCAATTTTTATTCTGACCTTGCTCGTATTTTACGTTCGTTGAATTTCTAATCAGAACATTTTGGATCTATGCCTGATTATAATAAATCAATCAGCCGATTTTAGAAAAATTGACTGGCTAAGCCGATAATTTCCTTTAGCCGATTTTTTTCACTATCGGCCAAAATCACTATTTATGGGCATAAACATCTCGCTTTTCCAGTTTCTAATAATCAAGAAGATTTACAAGATGAAACTCAATCAAATGAAAGTGAAAGTGATTATAGCATTTCTTCATTAAAAGATGAAAATACTAAAGAAATAGTAAATAATTCTGAGGATATTGAATCTGAACAAGGATGGAAAAAAATAGTTGAAAATTGGTTTGATATGCTATTAGAGAAAAATAATAAAGATCAATTAATGGATTTTGTATCTGTACAAGAAGTTACAATTCATCCTAATAATTCTGAAGGCAAGTGGAAGCTCGAAACTTTGTTTATTGATACATTAGATACACCTACTTTTATTGGCAATTTAAAGATATAAAGTAAGTATTTAAATTCGATAAAACTAAAATATGATAATATATGTAGATATATATTTGCACTAATATGTAAAAATATAATTTGTTATTCATACAACTAAACTTTAACTTTTTATAAAATCTATTTCTTATATTTATTTCGCTAATAATTAGCATTGTAAGAAATAATTTTTCTACTATATAATTTATTATACTTTCTTACATATATTTTTAATATATTTAATGTAATTTTAGGTTTGATATTTATGATGAATTGAAGATTTTTATATATGAGTTATAACAATTATACATACAAACTTTGCTTTAAATTTTTGATTATAAATTATCATATTATCATTATTTTATTCAAAGTAGTATATATTATGAACATTATAGTTGAAAATAATAAATATAAGAAATTTATTTGGTGCTTATTCGTATACTATATATTATTAACAATTGTTATCTAATACATAGTGAAAAAAGTATTTTTAATAAATCATTAACATTACACGAAAACTAAAAATATTAAATTTAAAACTGTTATACGTAAAAATTAACCCAATTAATATAGCACAGTATTAGTCAAGATACAAATAATTTTTTGTAGTAGTAAAAATAATAAATACACACATGCGTAATACATAATATGCTAAGCAGTAATGCATTAGCAAGCAACGATCAAATAGGTGATTCCGGTTCTAACAAGGGAATCCAATAAATATGCAAGGGGGGAAATAAGTTAAATTTAATGAAATTACTAATTCAGAAGTTATAGCACGAATACTAATATAGCCAAATTTAGCAAGAAATATATAACAAATAATATAAAGAGCAGTACAAATCAATTTGTGCTCTGCCCCACCCGAAATCTGAAATCCTGCCATTTTTGTGATAGCTTAAATATCTTTTCACAGTCAGCTTGCATTATGCAAGTAGGCCAAGATCATGTAATTACAAAAATTCTAGCTGACAACCAGCCAGCATTTATACAAACGAGAAACTGCTAACTAATTCCAATTGCAATCACACTGATATCTTATTAGTGTTAGAATTGTCCAACAAATATATCACATGCGTGCAATTCTTTTCGGTTAATAAATAAACCTGCTTATTAGATAAATATAACCTTTTTTGAATTTATCAAGTATATCGATATGTACATATCATTTTAAATCGATTGCTAAGTATGGTAAAGTATATTTAAAATTCACAGCTACAAATTTAACAAAAGTTACTATCACTATTAAAAAAGTTGCAAAAGAATTTCATAAGCAATTAATTTTTATTTTATGTAAAACCTGAATTTAACTTACACCATTGAATGATGAGATTCTCAACAAAAGAGTTTAAAGCTAGGAGTACAAAACACATTAATTACAAGTTGCCATTATATTGATTGCTTTAACACCAGTATATTACAGTATTAGTAAAGATTAAGCCAGTATAAAATTTCTTCAGATAACTAACCTGTATTACAAACTCAAAACCAGATAACTTGAGTAACCCAGTTGACACGATTATAATAGATAGCACAAAAATTTTGGATTTGACCAACCGCATAAGAATTAAATTTTATGATTTGGGTCATATTGCATAAGTTGAATTATTGGCCATTCCAAAGGTTCTTGAAATTTTTGAATCGCATAAATATAACAATCAAACCGCTAACGCCATGCCGAAATTTTGTTATCCGGGTTAACTGGTTAGCAAAACCGGTTATAGCTATTTTCATAATTCTGTCTTTTTCAGCTCCCCTTGTGCTTTGGTCTCTTGTCATATTATTATTTTTTAGTCCTTGTGCATAGCTAGGGGTATAATCTCTACTTGTCGGGATGGCTGGCTCTTGGTTCATTTTTTAATAATTGGATCATAATGCCATTAACTATGTTTATATTTTCTTTGGCTAATAATTTAATATTTAGATCTATTTCGTTTAATTTTGCTCTTTTAAATGCTGTGCCTAGGTATATTCATCTTGTCCGTCAGTATTGCTCTAAAAATGTTAGCTAAAAAGAGTAATTTATTAATCGGGTTAATTCCTCTATGCTTTGGTCTTTTAATGCTAGGCCTCACTTTTCCCTTGTTTCTCCTGTTTTCTCGTTATAACTTGCTTCTAATAATTCAGGGTCGTTGGCTTCGCTTACTATTAATTCATCAGGTATATATGCTATTATTTCTCCTTTATAATTGGCCTGGGCTAATTCTATTACTACGCTCATAACTGCGGAAATATTGGCTTGGTATCTTTGCATTATTTTGCCATTGGGTCATTCTTTAGACCAATTAAAAGGAACTATTAGCGAAATAGAGTGGGGTTGCTTAATAGGACGGAGTCTGATAAAAATTAGCCGAATGGTTTTTCAGTCGATTCAATTAAGTTTGTAATTTCGGCATGATGCTTATGTATAATAAAAACTATTTTTGTTTCATAATGACTATTATACAGACAGTTATAACAATAATGTCAACATTATTAAACCTTTGTTCGAATGCTTATTCAACATGTTTAGTGTGTCAATTATGTCTTAACAAGTAATATAAAAAATGCACTATATTAATTAGACTTTTATTGCACAAAGTACGTGTTAAAAGAAGATCCTGTATGAAAATAGTTATTACTTTTATTTGTATATACAAGTTGGTTCAAATTGTTATAACATCTAACCAGAGTAATTCATATTTTTTTTAAAAATATTTATATCATTCATATTCAATGAATGTAGTTCTGAAAGTGATAGAAGCTTTTCAATGTATCTATATTTTTGAAAGTTCTTAAGAACCCATTTTATAAATGATATGCTAAACCCAAATTTTTCGAAATAATAAGCTTTCTAAACTTTTTTTTTAATATTTTAAGTGAAGATATCATATTTCTGCATTCTACCAGAGATAAAATATTAAATAATATTTATATTAGTATCTGATCTTAATTATATATATATGTGAATCTATTATGCTGAAATAACAAACTTAATCGAATCGGCTGAAAAATCATTTGGCCAATTTTTATCAGGTGTTTCAAAATTATGAAATAGCTGTAAGATTGCTTATATGGATTATCTGAATAATCTTTATCTGGGCCTAATCTCTAGATATTAACATGATGTTTTTTGCAAAAAAGTCATCAAGATTTTTTTGCCATCTTCAAAAAATAAAATACTGGAAGAGGATTTTATTTGTTATAATTTGTATATTCATTTTAATTCGCCATTTTAGACTTAAACTTATCAATTTGACAGGTTATCAGTTTTGACTAGGTTAACTATATAGCAATAGATTTTATTTTTTATAATATTATAATTTTTATATTAGGTCATTTGGTCATTTCAAAAATAAAATAACTAAATGACCAATGACCAATTCATTTGGTCATTTGGTCATTGGTCATTTGAAGTGCCAACACTGGTATAAACTGCCTTTATTCAGTAATTCATTATTGACAATGTAAAATATGCAATATTTGTTAAGTAGAGAATGGTAAGATACATAAAAAGAAGGTAATTGAAATATATACATACTGAAGAAGGAAAAGCACAATAAAAGTAATTAGCATTGCATTTGCGTGTGAAAATGAGTTATTTAATTTTAAAGTATTTTACATGTTGGTCATATAAAAAAGTGAGCAGTGTAAAATAATCAAAATGGCATAAAAAGAAATTAAGTTGTACCTGAAGAAGTAAAAGTAAATAGAAGCCATTGGTATTGCGCTCACATGTGAAAATCAATGATTAAATTTAAATTATTCTATTCTATATATAAGGTATATGAAAAAGTAAGAAGCGCAAAATAATCAAAATTCTATAAAAAGAAATTAATTTGTGCCTTAAGAATAAAAGTAAATAAATATTGCACTAACACGTGAAAGTTACGATTTAATTTTAAAGTATTTTACATGTGGGACATCTAAAAAAAAGTGAGTAGTGTAAAATCAAAATGCTATAAAAAGAAATTAATTTGTACCTGAAGAAGGAAACTAAATAGAAGCCACTGATATTGCACTTGTGTGTGAAAACAACGATTTAATTTTAAAGTATTTTATTATGTATTTGATATAGAGGGAGGACCAGTGTTCAAAATTTCAGATCCAAACACGGTTCTCAAGCTTTCATAAAAAAAACTCCCCAAAATAATATATAAAGATAGTATATTGGAAAATAAAAATATATACGTACTATAGTTGTACTTAGTATTAAAAAAATAATTCAAATTGTTTAATAAAAATAGATAAATATTTAATAGTTTATTGGTTTATTTATTGGTTTCTGGCTTTTATGGCAATATTATACAGCTGTTTATTATATATTTATAAAAACACTATTATTATTTACTGTTCTCAAAAAATTTTTAATGGTGAATAGTAAAAAATCTATACTGTGCACAAATTTAGAATAGTGTTTTCATGAAAATTCTGAAAACACTAATTTTAAACACTGGAAAGACTAATTTTGATCAGAAAAAATTGTACTAGCAAAGAGTCGACTGGCCCAAGCTTTTTAGAATTGACCTATGATCTATGATTTTTTTAGCTATGTAAAATATTAAAATACCATAAGTTGTACCTGAAGAAGGAAAGTAAATAAAAGCTATTGATATTGTGCTTGTGTGAAAATCAACAATTTATTTTAAAGTATTTTACATGTGAAGCATGTGAAGAAGTAAAATAATCAAAATGCCATAATAAGAAATTAGGTATAAAAAATTCTTACAGTTCTTCTTATTATATGCAGCATGCGAGTTTCTTCATTGTATTCCAGTTGTTTTAGCAACTTTTAATCTTAGACTTCTATTTTTTTATATATTCGCGTGTGAAATGCATTCGATTTGAATTGTTGATTTTTACACATAAGTGCAATATCAGTGGCTTCTATATGCTTTATCTCTTTCAGGACAAATTAATTTCTTTTTATAATACTTTGATTATTTTACACTACTCACTTTTTTATATGCCCACACATAAAATACTTTAAAATAAAATCGTTAATTTTCATGTGCGAGCACAATATCAATGGCTTCTATTTGCTTTACCTCCTTCAGATACAAATTAAAATTCTATCATGAATTTATTAATGATATTTTAATAAATTTATATAAATAGTCTATTTGTATGAAGCAATTGAACTTACAACTTATTTACTTTTTGTCAATTTGTTGAATATATTCATTGTTCATTTTTTTATACCAAAATGAATAATGTCATCTGTGAAGTCGTTCTGTCTACTTGCAGCAAGGATAAAATTAATGTTTATGGCTATTTAATGACTAAGGATAAAAGTCGAAGAAATTCATTCTATTGGAACTGCGAAAAGAAGAAATTACTTACATATAGTGGGCGTGTTGTAACAAAATTAGTTAACGATGAACATTATTTTCAAAGTTGGACAGACTACAATCATGCAGCAGATGTGAGCCGGTCACATGTTGCAATAATGATTGCCAAAATCAAAGAACAAGCACAACAATTTAATGACAGACTTTCACAAATAGCACAAGATACTATGGCCAATAGCCCCCACTTTGTGTATTAATATCTTCCATCTTCCAACGCAATTTGCCAAACTATCCAGAGAATTTGGCACCTTGATCTTCCAACTGAACCACTATCTATAAAAAGTTTGGTTATTCCTCAAAATATGAGAACAACTTTAAGTGGTCATGATTTTTTAATTAACGATACTAATATAGGTCAAGATAGAATTCTAATCTTTACAACTGTTGATAATGTGCACTATCTGAATTGATTTCTTTTTTGGGCCATGGACAGGACCTTTAAGACGGTCCCTACCATGTTTAAACAATTATACACCATTTATAGTATTTTTTAACATTTATTTTTTATCGTAATTTCTCAAAATAGCATATATAGGTATTATTTAGAATTTTGGTTTGAATTAAGCTTAATTTAGGACAAAATTCAAAATAATGCTCGCGTTTACTATTTCAAGAATTTATAGTAATTGCAATTGCAATTTAATTGTATGAATTTGTTAACATTTACAATAATTCTGTTTAGGATATATTGGCAGAAATGATAATTCAAGAATTATACCCTTGGTTTTTGTTTTGATAACTAGCAAGACTGAAGAGCTTTATAGAAGAGTGTTTCAAGGTTTAGTAGATTTTGCTAAAGAAAATAGCATTAATTTGTATCTGCAAATAGTTTTGACAGATTTCGAATTTGCTGCAATAAATGCTATCCAGTTTGAGTTTAAAGATATTCAATACAAGAGCTGTCACTTCCACTTGGCACAAAGTGTATACTGTAGGATCCAAATAGCTGGGCTCGCTGCATGTTATAGAACCAATGAAGAGTTTAGTCTTCTTATAAGACACATTTCTGCCCTTGCATTCTTACCTTATAGTGAAATACCTCAAGTATCTGACGAGCTAAAAACTAACCTTCCACCCGAAGCTGATAATATTATTTAATGGTTTTAGAACAATTATGTGCATGGCAAAGTAAGGCATATACATAGAAACGGAAGCATAGTTAGGTCCAAGCTCTCTTTTCTACCTACTTTGTAGTCAGTAGTTGACAACATTGAACTTGCCTATCCCAGGACGCAGAATTTGGTCGAAGCGTGGCACAGGAGATAAGATACATTGGTAGGTTGTGTGCACTCAGGAGTTTTTAAAATTGTAAGAGAAATTCAAAAGGAGCAGAACCAGATTCAGCTTAATATTGAAGCTATTATGTGGGGTGCTCCAAGGCCTCCTCAAAGAAGATATACTATTGAGCGTGAACAACATATTCAAATAGTATTTAATGATCGGCAAAATCGACCTCTTATGAATTATTTGCATGGAATTGCATATAATATTTTATTCTAAAAATTTGATTTTTTTTTTTTTTTTTTTTTGTTATTTTTTGACAATTTTTTTTTAACATTTTTTTGACAGTTTTTTTTTTGACATTTTTTTGAAAGTTTTTTTTTGACATTTTTCCAAGTCATTTTTTTTAACTAGCTTTTTTGTCTTTTTTTGACAAGTTTTTTTTTTTGTCCTTTTTTTTGACAAGTTTTTTTTATCTTTTTTTTGTTAATTTTTTTATTTTTATTATTTTGTCATTTATCATTTATCTATCAGATATTGCATAAATAAAATGCTTTTTTACACTTGTTAAATAAGATATAACTTATTTACTAAGATAAATAAAAATAATATAATTACTCAATTGCTAATAAAAATATAATTTTAATACTTATCAGAAAAATTCAACTTATTCTGTTAATTGACAAAATATTATTTATACACT